CGGTTATACAGATCACATTAACCAGCAGGGCCGTCTCCCCTTTCAAGCAGGTTTTGACCAAACTCCCTGCAGAAAGGAAAAGAAATCTCAGAAAGGCCATCAGAAAACCATCAACCCAACGGAGAAGGCTTTCTTAAACAGATCCCCTGCGGTCTCCCAAGTCTCAGGAAGCACGAGCTTTGCCAGGATAGCAAAATAAGCAGCTGGCAGAACTCAAGTACAAGAAAAAACAACTGAAAAAAAAAAAGGCTGTTGGTAGGAAAACAGGCAGTGCACCAACAGAATCCCTACTCAGTCTCTCACACACATGCCCCTTTGGGTACATTCATTCTCCTGGTCAGGAGAAAAAAAATCAAGATGGAGCACTGCAACTCCTCCTCCTCCTCCTCCTCGTTTGTCTATTGTGGATGTAGGAGGAGGAGGCTAAGAGAGATTTACTCTTTGTGTCTTCCCTGTGCAATCTGTTTTTCCATTCACCAACCTGGCATTTAGAAGAATAATTTCAAACTAGGAAGACTATCACTAAGGCCTCTCTGGCACCATGACAGTCAGCCCTCAATTTATTTCAGAAAGGGGAAAAGTTACCTGGTTTCCCATTCTCTCCCAATAAGATTGATGACTACATTGCTATGTTCAAGAGCTCTTTGGATAGAATCTTTGTTGCGTGAATCCCACTCCTGGTAACCACAAAAACACAAAATAAGTTAAATGATGTCCACAAACCTTTCACAAAGATGTACAGTAGTTCATGGCCTGTATAACATCTCTTTCTCACAAGAGATTATTATTACACTCTTTATAGCATGAACCAAGTTGTAAGATTAAGAACCACAGAAAAAGTAGAGTCTGTATTAAAATACTTTCGTTAGGTTTTGCCTTCATAAGGATTTGAGGCAAACTCATAGCATACCATAAAGATAATCTGCCCCAGGTCACCCATGGGCCGAAGATACAGGAGGTCGTACTCATCACAGCGATACGGGATGACGACTTGGGAACCAACCCGGCCTAGAAGGATCAGAGACATTTCCTTGGAATGGAGTCATTACAGGATATATAGGAAACACTCACACTTTCAGCAGCCGCAAACACACGGGCTATCTATTAAACATTAGCGTCAAGCCATGTTCACTTTTTACATGTCAGATGGTAAAAGTGGCGTTCACAGGGCCATCATCCAGGCATTAGGCTCCTCTGGACTTCTGGAAGCCCCATGCCCCATGGAAAGCTCCTTTGGAAACTGGAACAAGTTTCAAAAATACTTTGTGATCCACGAGGATGTGTGGATGTTAATTTTGACCTGTTGGGTCCCCCCCGCCTTGCAGAGTGGAGAGATTGCCTCCAGAAATCGCTTGGGCTTTTTTTCTCCCCTCGCAACATTTTATTGAAGGGAGGAAGATGAACATTTCTTTATTCAGCAACAGGAAGAAGACAGCTGGAGATCAAAACCGGAGGTCAAAACAATAGACCTGAGATACGTAGACAGCGCCATTCATTCAGCTGAAACTAAGGACTTAAAAGACAGAAGTGATGGCCACCAGCATACTTAGCGAGCTCATTAGTAACAGGAAAGAAGTGAAGGTGACTACAACAAAGATCAAAACAGTGAAAGCTATAGTCTTCCTAGGGGTAGCGTAAATTATGGAGACTGAAACACCGAAAGAGAGATACAGGCAGTCCTCTGCAGTTACCATAATGCTCCCATCCTAGATCTCTTACTTAAGTCATCTTTCAAGTAGCTCAGCCTCCATATTTGCATACAAACTGGGCGGTCAGCTTTTGCACACGTGTGACCTCTGGAGAGCATAGGTGGGCAAAAACCTAGCCATTTTGCACATGTGCAGTCACGGCATCTGCCACATTTTGCATTTCTTGTGTTCACTGGAATTCATGTAAATAAATGTCTTGTGTAACCCAGGGACTACCTGTACTCCTTCCTTCCAATGATGGAAGTAGAGACATTTACTAAGAGGACCGTGGAGTGCAAGAAGAATCAGTCTGTCAGTTCTGGATGAAATAAAGACTGTTCCCTCAAAGTGCTGAGTCAGCAAAAACTCTTCACTTCCCTTATCAGCATCCCTATGAAGTCTTCATTGTCAGTGATACACACACACGGTTATACAGAAATCTATAAATGATTTCATGAGTTTTCTTAGATTATTTTCAGTTACTTCAATTAAGTGCTCAATTCTAAGGTGAATTTAGGTAATTTGGAACAGATTTTCTTTTACAGGAAGCAGTCCAAATGGCTAAAACTCACCCTGCTATGAAATGAGTCTTGTCACACAAATCCAGTCCTGAGTTTTCTTAATGGATTATTTTAGTTACTTTAATTAACTGCTCCAAATTTCCGTCCGCCTAGCTGCAAATAGTGGCCGCACGGTAGCCACACCCCAAAGGGGGAATTTCTGTAAAACTCCATGGTGATAAAGAAAAGAAAGCAGAGAAGGAATTGGTTCAGTGACTAACAGGTTTGTCTCAAATCAGAGTGACCCTTGTAAGCAGGGTAAGCAGGACCATTTATGAAGGCTGGAGAAGTCTTAGGGAGAAAGATCCTAGTCATACCATTTGCTCTGCCCTCAACGTCACTCTCAGTCATATATGGCAATATTTATGAACTGTCTCAGCTAACAGACCAGCTTGGCAGTGGATCTTTCTTCTTTTGAAGAAATCCTATTTCCTCCTTACCATCTGCCATCAAACCACAATTCCAACAATATCTGATTGGGAACTTAAATTTGGAGAATACACAGCAATGGCAAAATTAACAGTGTATACACATAATAAAAGTTCAACCAAATTTAAGCAAAAATTAGTCCCATACATCCAAGGTATCATGCAGCATGCTAACCCTTCCTTCACTCCATATCCCTTCAACCTATGTCTGAAATTTGCCAGGGATATTCCTTTTCATATGAACCATATTTGCTACAAATACACCACCGTCCTGTCCTTGAAACACAAAAGTTCAGGATGATTAAAAACACCTTAAAATACTGTTGTTAATACCTCTACCCTATCCCCTGGGACTGATTTCTATGGAATTTGGCTCCATTCATCTATACATGATTACGTTTTGCTTTCATTTTGTTTTTGTGAAAACATCCTGGGACTTAAAAAAAAAGACAATGAATGAGCGCAACTTGAAAATGCACTAATTTATATAAAATATGGCACCATTATTTCCTGATGATGAAATTTATTGTAAATTTCATCCCATTTGCATCAGTATAATTGTTTGGGCATTTATATTTTCCCTATGCTGGGAAAGAAATGCTCCACTTTTCTCCCCTATTGTTTCATGGATCAGAGCAGATGCGTAGGTCCTGCCTTTGAGGCAGAGAAGAGGAAGGCATCACCTGGCTTACAGAGCCCAACCCCCGATCTCGTAGTCCTTACTCTTCATGTGCCAATATAAGCCATGTGACACATTTAAGAAGTTGACCCAAACCTTCCATGATATAAATTAGTACAGAGAGATTATTACAGAAGATGTAAAACACAAATCAGAGGGTTTGCTTTGAGAAAACACACTGCTTTTAAGAATGAATAATTGCCCCATCCTGGGTTCCAGGGGAATCCAAAATCTTGTATGTATGTATGTACGTGTGTGTACATACACACACACGCAGACACACAAGGAATTAAAATGTGGGCATTGATTAGTTTTGTTTAAAAAAAGGAACTTATTTGAACATAATATTTAATTTCTTTTAAATGAGCAATCAGAAAGATTTTTCATAAAATTACCATATATGTGTATAAGTATCAAAAATATCAAGCTAATATAATTTAGTATTCAGGACGTTTAAAAAAGAATAAGGAAGCTATTTTCAAATGTGACTGTCATGAATTAGCAAAGAATTTTAGAAAATATGTTAATATACGTATTAAGTTTCTTTAAATTCTCTTGCTTTCTTTTCATGGACAAGGAAGATATCTTTGACACATATATACCATTGTTACAATAAAAAGAGACTATGGATAACACTGGTGATTCTGAGTAAATCCTGAACAGAAAATTAATTTTCACAAGTATATCCCAATGATCTCTTTAAGATATTGCTACAAGATAAATTTGTAACATTTACCTTCACAACTGAATGGCATATTGATTATTGGGTATCTAAGTCTGATAAATAATACATTAATAGATGACAAAATTATTTAATAAAGAAAATCTATCTTTGTCATATATTACCCAGGTGATTGACAACGTATCGGCCCAGAAATCCTGTGGCCCCAAAGACTGTGGCAGCAATACCACTGACCGAAGAACGTCCACTGCGTCCGTGAGGCAGCACCGAGTAATGAATTGAGCGATCTTGTTGAAGAACAGGCAACACCCATGGAGAAATGCCGTACCCTAAAATGCAAGGACATTGAACATACACATGAACGCACACTCATCTCCAAGAATTCAGCTAAGCCATAGTTACATGAGTTCGGTGGCAGGGATAGGGCGGAGCATTCTTCCTATTAATTTCATTATATAATTTAGGTTGGGAAACAGAAGGAGAAGCATGCTTGCTCAAGGTTGCTTGGTAAGATTCAGGGTTAAGTAATTCATTACTCAGTGCTGCTTAAGCACTAGGCTCAGAGAAGGGAAACCCAAGTTCACATTCTCATTAGGCCATAAAACTCATGACTTTCTCCCAGCCTAACATTCCACGGAGGATGCTTCTGAATATAACCAAACATTTTCCCCCATATTTGCCATCTGGAGCCCCTTAGATAGAAGAGGGCATATAGATGTAATACACCAACCATGTGGGAGATACATGGACACTAATACAGACTTCTATCAGCTGTTAATTACCTTTGGTCCAGCACACAGTACTCCTACATGTACTGTGTTATTTTAAGATTCCTGAAACAACCATGAAATGTCTATCTAAAATGAAGAACCATCCAACTTGAAAGCACACCGCCCTCTCTCTGGTCCTTGTTTTTCAATCTGACCACTTTTGCCTGGACTGGGAGATCACGGCTGTCTTGAGAGACTGCTCGTGAAGGCGTCTGGGACCTTCAAAGCTTACCAGTGATAACATTTTGCCTGGGAATTCCTAGTCGTGTTGACAGTTGCATTAGTTTTGTCCACCTTCAGATTCTCAAATGAATTATTACTGGATAATCGTATTTGGTGCAGCGGTCAAGGCGCTGGCCTAGAAACCAGGGGACTGGGAGTTCTAGTCCCACCTGAGGCACAAAAGTCAGCTGGGTGACTTTGGGCCAGTCCCTCTCTCAGCCCAACCCACCTCACAGGGTTGTTGTTGTGAGGAAAACAGGAGGAGGAAGGAGTGTTAGGTATGTTCGCCACCTTGTGCTGTTTATAAAAAAATACTGATGGAAACGTTGCCTTCCTAAGGAAAAAAGTCAAGAGCCGCTGTGTGCCCTTTGTCGCCCATCAGCGCCTGCATTCCGCGCCAAAGGAGCGAACCATTTCTTATCCGCCCCCTTTTACTCTGAATGCAGCGGAAAAGCTACTCCAGGCGGCCTCGCCGCATCCCAGCTCCGCCTTCCCTGTGCCCGCGGAGCAAGCGGCGAACCTCCGCCGCCGACCCGCCCTCCCTCCTCCGTCCTCCCCGACCTTCAGACCGCCGAGCAGCTCCTGCTGCTGCCCGCGGCCGCCCCGGGCGACTCGGCGCCCCAGGCCCTGCCGG